GGGCGCCCCGACAGTGGTTCCCGCCACCTCTGAACGGCTTCGTGGACGGCAACGATCATGGCGGCGATAGGGGTTGGCACAAGGAGGCAGCCTTCGCTGGCGGATATCGTGCCCGACACGATTGGGGACTTGATCGTGAATTTGGTCCGTGGGAGGGCCTGTTTCGCGTTGACATCTTCGAATTCGATGAAGAGCAAGTTGACGGGTCATTGTACGATGGTCCGCTGTATTTGATGAAGGACCCGAAGAGGTGGAGGATCGTCTTCCCGACAAAGTGGACGATCTCTACGACGATCCGCCGATTTTCGTTGAGGAGCCTCCAGGGCTAGAGGATTACCATCATGTTTCGAGTTTCAAAATTCAGCTGTTGGAAGAAATAGTTCTTCTATTGCGCAGGCCCGAGCTTTTCTCCCATGAGAATTTGTTGCGACCTCACAAACAGATGTTATTTTTTGGTCCCCAAGGTGATTTCAGTATTCTGTGTGTGACTGCAGCATATATGCCTTTATATGAATTTCAAGGGGGCAATACTATGGAGGTGAGGTATTCGACCTTCGTGTTCGATCGGGGGAAACGGCAGGGGTTTACTATCATGGGTTCGACACCATACACCGGCCACGGATGCGCATCGGCTTCGAGGGCGAAGCCTTCCGAACCGGAGGAGAATGGTGTAGATGATGATGATTATTATTATTATTATTATTATTATTATTATTATTATTATTATTATTATTATTATTATTATTATAGGTATCTTAGAGAATAAGTTAGAAATCTAATATTATTATAAGAGATCTTGTCTTGTTGGACAAGTTAGGAATAGGGTTATGAGCCTTATTTAAAGGACTCCTCATCTATTGTTTTATTCAGTTGATTTTGAATATGAAATAAGATATTGAAAGTTTTGCGTGTTTTACGAGAGAGTATCTCGTTTACTCGTTTATCCTTTCCATTCGTACGCTTTCCCCTACATCACTCACGCACCATACATAGTGCTAAATTCTCGACTTTGTTCATGTTAATCGGAGTTTGACAGTCTGAAGTGTTACAGTTTCTAGGATTTAGACGTTGTATCTTTAAGAAAGAGATGATTGAATCTGTCAATAGGCATATTCAAACACTCTCGCCTTGGCTTATGTCTCTCCGCTTTCAAGTTTGCTTCTAGTTTTTTGTTTTTAGTTCATAATGTAAGAATTAAAACGTATCAATTCGGTTAGATATTTACTACGGAAAATGTAGAAAACACGAATTAGCTTACGACTACGGAAAATCATAAACAAACATCTGAAATTTTGGTGGACTTCAGAAATTAGAATGTCTTCAAAAATCAAGATTAAATATCTACTGAATGGACACTCCACACTGCCCCATCCACAGACAAAACACACAAAGAACTTTAACCTGGCTACATTGTACAAAGTTCAGAGTAGCTTCACTTTCATGATACCTCTTTTACAAATTACAGAATTCGGCCTTCTCCCATGTTTAGCCTTTGTCGGAAAATCTCCAGCCGCAACTCACTTCTCCAAAACACGACAACTTTAGCATAATAATGTCAAATTTCTAACACCAATTGATAAATTTAGCATCATAATGTCAATTGAGCAAGCTATCACTTATCGACATAGTTCTTTTGCTTTCTCATTGAGCATGCTTTCCGCTTTCCTTTTCTTGCACTCACCCACCATTCTCTTAACATAAGTAATGTAGCCATCCACATCGAATTTTCTCTTGCAACCGGCATAATTCATGTATCGTATTTTTCCGAAAATTGGTCTCTCTTTCCAGCCCTGGATGACAGGACAAGCATCAGCATTAATATTAATATTATAATAATAATAACTAAAAAACAATTATGAATATTTTCCTACCGATAGCCTTTCACACAACTATATGAAAATTATGGATTTCCACAACAGGAATCCTTAAGAGGTGCACAAATTTAAGTTCACCTGGTCATGTACTCCACATATTGACCACATGCATCCGACGTAACCATTTGGATCCCTGCCGTCTATATGATACTGCACGTGTGCACATGAGACAGCAAAAATGGGAAAATACTTTGTATCAGAACATGGATACACAAGCAGAGCCAAAGAAGAGCGAAAAGCGAAAAACTTATGCACCTTATCATTCAAGTATATTGATGTTGCAAGAGCTTCCTCGGGCCCAGTAGTCCATTCAAGAATCTTCTTTGCCCAGTACATCCTGAAATTGTACGAGAGTAATTGAAATATAGGATTGGAGTTAAGCTAAAACTTAAACATTTGCAAACTGCATTTTTGCATTAGGACCATCACACAAAGCAAAGCATAGGTTCCTGACTGCCTATAACTGGTATATTTTGAATATCCAAAGGTGATGAGTATAGAAACACATCTAGTAACTAACAAAAGAAATTTTTTGAAGAAACAAAGTTTTTGAAATTCTTATGTCTTAATTCTTGATTGTTTCATTAATAAAAGAAATTGCTTACACAGTGAGGATATAAAGCAGTCTGACACAAGGAAATGCACAAAATCAGATAAATTGCTCAAAGTAACTAACATCCAAAAGGAAAAGAACCAAATCAGTCAATCGAGTAAAACAGTAGGAAATGATACCAGAATATAAAATAAAATCAACCAGCCTCTATAGGCTCCATCATCAGCTACTATGACGATGTAATACGAGAATGAAAAAAGTAGCAGAACTAGAGTCAAGAGGAGGGACATAGTACATACCCAACAACAGCGTATACTCACGTGATTAGTTAGAAAATATTAAGATTTCAAGCAAATAAGGACTTAATACCCTAACCCTTCATGCAAAACAACACATTGTATACAAATCTTTTCCAATCAACCTCTCTTACGAGGTGGAGGAGCAGTAATTGGTGAATACGATTTTATCATACAGCATCAAGGTCTAAGTATAAAAATAAACACCCTTTAACAATGATGCACATGCCTCATAAAACCATGCATCTTTCCATAGTAAACCAGTTCTAGCTGTGAAGCATTCCATAACTGCGAGAAAACGAGAAAAAAAGGCGAGATTTCTGTCAATATGAATTCAGAAACAACAATAAGGGAATATACAACTTGAGACTCGCATTGTTTCATCTCTTTAGCTAAGTGAATTCTGGGTGAGAGGATGAAAATCATACGTCCTCTGAAGTTTTCAAAGGAATTCCAATACATGATTATGGCACATATTACATACCTGATCAGCAGTTTGAGCTTTCTCCAATTGCTCTCGGCTACAAAGAACAGAAAATTTCTCAGAGATATAATCATCTCAGAATAAATGAATCCACCAACAGAAACATCTTAACCACTCACGTGTATAAATGTTCACGTTTATCAGCTGCATGGTCCATTAATGTCTTGCGAGCCCACTCCCAAGCACCTTGTAGAGAATCATAATGTGGCTGATAGAAGCAGAAGTTATCAGCAAGTTCTCTTCGTACAACCAATTCCTCCAGAAAAACATCAACTGCCTTCATAATAGTAGTCATCAACAAACTTCAAGTCAAATGTTTCATACTATAGATTACGGATGACTCACCAAATTATATTCTCATCAGATAAAACCACAAACCTGCGTATTTTGTTTTCGAACTTTTTGTGCCTCGAGGGCACATCTCTGTGCCGATATCTGCCCAAAGTGCAAATACGGAGAAAGCCCGGACAGAGCTTTAAGTTTCATAGGATTATTTCTATCTGTGGGATAATTTTTCAGTCTTGATTTCAAGAACCCATTTTTATCCCCCATTAGTACTTCCAATCCAGCACGTTCACCTGGCTCACACCATTCGAGTTCAGGAATTTCTGCTCCCTGCCTGATCATATTGTTAGTTGTACGGCACAAAATGTTTAGCCTCAACCATAGTAAGAATAAAAGAGTGTACAATCAGCATATGCTAATGAAACCTCACCTTACAACACTTGAGATGAGGTTATCCCAATCAATAGAATTAATGGAGGTTGGCCATTTTTGCTTCTGAAATCCTAGCTCTGGAAAATCGACCAAATACTCTGGAAACTTCTTGTTTATTTTGTTCCTTATAGTCCTGGCACCATATTCCAATTTGTCCGACGCAACCCAAACAGGAACCACATTGTGTGCATCGACTTCTTCAATTGATACAGACCCGCTCACCCTCTTGCAGATCTCATCTTTCCACTGCCGAACCTCACGCAATGGTGAGAAATCTGTCACCAAAAGTGAAGCCCCACATTCTTTCAGGAAATTTGGAATAGTGTCCACAGCCTCACCCTATGATCAAACCCAAGATAAGATAACATGAGCCGGCGTGGCAAAACAACTTCATCCCCTTCTAATCAATGTCAAATACAATAATAATTTAGTAAACTCTCAGCTGTCATAGGATTATAGATAATCTTTAGTTCTATGCTTTCTTAGCTGCTTCTTACAAGCTTATACAGCCATTTGAGAAACACTAACTGGATGGAGCTAGGGAAATGGATGAGAGTATAGACTTAAAAACAGGTCCAATACAAATGTTACATTACACATACTAATTCCACTAGTTCATGCGTTGGTTAAAGAAATTACTTCTCCTGTATTTCTATGCTTTTAGGCCACAAAAACATTTTGGTACAAGCTAAATGCTCTGAGTCAGTAGCCAAAAAATAATTGCTTAGATGAATTGGGTTAAGTACTGAACCAATCTGCAAGCATATTGTCAAATTTGTTCCCCTGCTTAGAATGCTTGAACGCGCAAGAAAGTGAGTAAGCAGGAATCAGTTATGTAACAACCAATCATTTATCCCTCCAGCCAACACTATATGCTACTTCAGCAATTAACAATCTCAACAAGCCAAGCACTTACAGAGCTTCTTTTATAAGGTAACAGATATAAATGAGCCTAAAACAAGATTTTCAAGATCCCTAAAGCATCACGCTCGATATCATCCACTTGCATCAAAACGTAAAAACACAATATATCAGAACAAATTTACTGAGCCAGTATGCCAAATTTCAGCTACCAACATTTTCTACCATTCAATGCACATTCAAACCGCATTCGACTCAGAATATATGGCAGCCTTAAGCTGCACTCAAGCCAAATGATTGCTATTATGCTAAAGCCTGAACTCTGTAATCACAGTTAAGTATCATTTCTACGCAGTACATTACAGAAAAAGATAATCACCACCAAACAGAACACTAAAAGCAGCATAATTACGCTTTCAAAAGAAGAAGGAAAAAAAAAATAGAGTAATTATACATAACCGATGGAAGAAATTTAACTCGCCTGGAACAAGAAAAAGGGGATTTTGAGAGTGGAGTGAAGATCGGAGTGCAATTTCTTGAGCCCCCTCAGCATAAACCCTAGATGCCGAGCTTTCGCGCCCTTAAATTGATGGAACAAATTGAAGGCTATGGCGACGAGCACCTCCCTTTGGTTGGCCTGATGAACGGCGTGGATGAGAGCCCAGTTGTCCCTCAGCCGCTGGTCCCTGAACATCCAGTACACAACCGGGCCCTGGCCCGGGGGTTTCGCATCCACGCTGGGTTTGAGGACCCGGACTCTTCCTGGATGGACGGCGGGGATCGAGGAAGACATGGAGATTGTATCCGCTGTACTGATGCGCGCCGGAAGCGTAGAAGAAGACTCGGCCGGGGAGGAATTTGGAGGAGCTTGGAAAGGGGGCGGACATTTTGGAGGGAAAGAGGGCGGTTAGCTGTTGTGGATTTGAAAGTGGACACGTAAAAGGATTCTCAGCCGCTGATTCTAATGACTTTCGGAGTTTTTGACTTTTCATGACGGTTAAAACATAAGATGGTTATCTTTGACTTTTGACTTCTTGGATATCAGTTTTGCTATGGAGCCATCGGATGGCTCGGCTTATGGAGCAATCCATACTTAATCACTAATAGTGCATTGCCACGTGTCCTACAATAAATACAATTTAGACAGGTGTCACTATATTAAGTGATGGATGGCTCCATAAGAAAACAATCCGATGGCTCCATAGATTTTTTGTCTTGGATATATGATAGTTTTAATTTTATTTGGATTTTTTTGGTTTGTTATAGTTAATTTTGGAAAAAAAAAATGGTATGTTTATTTGTTAGTTAAATTTTGAGTTTATATTAAAATAATATTTAAAATAAAATAATTAAAATTAATTTAATGTAAAAGTATGAGATAAATGATGTGAAGTGGTGGTTAGTTAAAGTTATATGAGTTGATGAATAGTGAATTATTGTTGATATGTGAATGTATTCAATTAGGAATTATAACGACTTTTTAAGACTTTAGAAATCTGGTGTATTCAATTTAGATTTGTTAAGACTTTTTTAAAAAAATGGGGTATTCAATTGAGATTTTAAAAAGTCTTATAAAATCTTGAGATATTTACCTTATTTGTGACTAAGATATAATAAGACTTTTTAAAATTTTGTGGGATTTCTAAACAAAAAAATTTATCGAAATACAACATCAAATCCTACCTCCATACTTGAGATTTCATGGAATTTTTCCAAAATCTGAAAATCTGAAAAAATCTCAAATCTTACAAAGTTTTAAAATGTCACTTGAAATCCAAATTGAATACATGTAAATGGTTGAGTGATATTATTTAGTTATAATGATAATATTGGGGGTAGTAAGCCTAGTTTGTTTACGACGATAAATATAAAACGAACTTCTACTCTCTGGAATCTTGTTTAATACATAAATGT